GAATTCCAGGAGCCTCAGTAGGTTGACAAGGACTTTCAGATTCCACAGTGCTGCTCTAGTGAGAAAGGTAAGGCATCACTTACCCAAGTGAACAAAATGCAGATGGAAGGCTCATCACTAGAGGACTGGGTAAGTGACCAGAGAGAGCAAGGTGAGTGAGTGACCAGAGGGAGCAGGGTGAGTGAGTGACCAGAGAGAGCAAGGTGAGTGAGTGACCAGAGAGAGCAGGGTGAGTGAGTGACCAGAGAGACCATGGGAGGAGAGGGGTGAGAGCAAGGCTGCCCAGCTTAACACATGCACACACACACACACACACACACACACACACACACACACACACACACACACAGACACACACAGACACACACTAAAATGTTTCCAGAAAGGCACAAATTACAGTAATAGCAAGGATTTCAAAGCATTTTCCTGTTATGCCACAATTTAAAAGAAGCCATTTTATAAAAAATGTGTTCAGATTTCTTTCTGTGAGCCAAACAATGGCTACAAAACTGCGATTTTCAGCTATACCACTTAATATTAGAAATATTGTCCAAAATTTGATTTTTCAATTGAACATTAGGAACATGTGGCTGTTTAAATTAGAAATATTTGCCTTAATCTTAAACAAGCAATTCAAGAAGTCAAAATACACTGTCAACATTTAATTACCAAAATTCACATGCCATTTTATAACAATGCCATAAAAAGGCAAAATGTATGATGATTTTGTTATCATATTAATTTTCCCTTGGTAATGGGAACTTTGTATAATGTTGCTCACAAAATGCATAGTATTTGCTGAATCAATAATGTAACACTTCCTTGAAGGGAAAAAAGCTGCAGAGAGGCCAAATAACTCATAAATGGTTCTTCTTTCAGCTCTGACTTCTTTTGCTTGCATTTTAAAATCACAGTTCCCACGCTGTTTTGAGCGCTTGAATAGGCAATCACATATGTTTGGCCACATGGGTTTTTCATGCATGACTACGTCATGGTACTGCTCCTGACCCTTCTCTGCTGAAGCTTCATGGTCAGTTTAAATCCAGCAGACATATAGTGAGGCATGCACCTGCTGTTACCATCAGGTGAGATGGCATTGTAACCCCGCTGTGACAATCCTACAGCCGAGGATCAAGGGCCTCAGGTGCGGAGTCCTATTAAGTGATAGGGAGGGAAATCAGCTGCACCTGGTCCTTCACACCAACAAAAGTAAGGAAAGGAAGGGCCTTAGCTTTGCCCCGTTAATTTTCTACAAAGACCAAGAGGGAAGAGCAGTGGGGATTCAAAGCTCCTACCACTCTCTTAAATTGTGTTCCATGTTCTTCTTAGAGTCCCATCACTTTCTACCTGGTTCATGGCAGACATAATTATCCACGGTGGTGGATAGTTGTGTCCCATAGTAGTGAAATATTCCTATTCACACTTATTTTATCCACATCCAGCTCCCGGGAGTCCTTATGAGGATTTGGAGGAATAGGCTGGCCTCCCTGCTGCTGGCCTGAAGCCCACATACAATCCCTAGTATTGCTTCCTTTAGAAAAGCAGGCTTCTCAGTAAATCAACAGGCATGGACTGAGTTCTGAAAACTGCCACATCACTGACCTTTGTGACAGGATGTAACATGTCCATAGCTGGGACCCATCCTTTACCCTCCACATCCACAGTGCTATGTTGGTGAGACTGAAGTCCTACTATCACAGTGTTTAATAGAAGTCAGGTAAAGACACATTACAAAAACTCAGAAACCTGCATCCTAAATTCACATTTTTATCTCTGCTTCTTTTCACTTTTTTGTAAAGGCTTTTATGTTAGCCTATAGAAATTATCGTTTGAACAATATTTGTATAAAAAGTTCTAATCTACCCACACATTGCACTGCCACATCCGTGTTTGTCTTACCTCCTCGATGGATGATTAAAGAAGTCTCACTTCCAATGGGGCAGTCCTTAAGTATATCCACTACTTCTGTATGGCTCAGGTTCTGTACATTCTGCTGGTTGATTTCAACAATGAGGTCTCCTTCACACAGCCCAGGGCATCCCTGAATGTCAAGTATTTGTTTCACCCGCTGTCCTGTGGGACTGTCAGCAATAGTGAAGCCAAATCCCTGGGCACCTTTCACAATGGTTAAGGTCATAAGTTCAGCTTGAGTGGCTCCAGATGAAGCCATAGACACATTGTCGTCATGGACGGGTGGTGGATACGTGCCATCGAGCTGACCCTCAGCTGGCATGGAGTGCAAAGAATGAGGTGGTCGATCAGCAATATCTGGAACTGACTGTGAGGTCCGAGAAATGTATTCCAAATATGTTTCATAGTTATGTCTTCCATTGACCATCACTGGTGGTGGCCTCTCCATTATTGCAAGGGGTGGCACCAAGCTGTTAGCAGGATCTTCAGGATCAAAGGGCAAAGGGTAGCCACGACACAACACCAAGTTGACACTCTGACCAATAGGAACAGACTGGAAAAGTTTGACAACATCTGCATGAGTGTGTCCAAGGACACAAACTTCATTAATATAGACAATGACATCACCTGCAAGGAAAAAGGAGAGATTGACAACATGAGGTAAGTTCAATTAACATTGACATAGAGAAATGGAATTATTTATGAGAACACTGAAAGAGTTCTCTGCTTCTCAGTAAGCAGTGAGAAATCAATTAGAATAGTACTTCAGTTCTCTGTAGGTGAGTCAAAGTTACAAAGGTCTGCCAACAAGTAGAATGGTCAAATGCTGAAAAAAAGAGCCACTTGGTTATTCTTGAAGCTTGGAAACAACTCCATATTTAAGCTCAGAAAAAAAAATGTTAGAAGAATTTGTACTTTGAAGAAGTATACGTTTCTGGTTTTTTCTTCTTTCTTTTCATTTTCATTTCCATTTTAGTGCAACTAAGATCAAAGAATTTTCAAACTGTTGAGAAGTGATGGCTATGAATTTTGGATGAAAAAGAAAGCCCTGATGTTTGAAGGTTTGGGTACCACATTCCTCTCTGTCAAGGTGCTGTGAAAATGAATGAGACGGTAAGGAAAAGGACTTGGCTCAATGTCTGAACATTGTACGAGTGCAGTAACTTTGGATGGAGGGCACTTGGTACCCTGGCAGTCAAACAGGAAGCTGCTATGGACTCATTCTCTTCTCTTGGAAAAATTAGTTTAGCAATGGTATTTGTTCTCTTTCCCAAATGAAGTATCACAGGTTTATAGAGGTCACCTGGTTAGAAGCTAACTTTATGAACTTAGAAATGTTATGAATACAAATTATTCATTATAAAATAAGTCATTAAAATGATTCCTTCTCCTTTAAATGCAAAAGACATGATTGGTTGAGATAATTGTTTTAAGATTTCTTAAATTCTATATAAATAAAAACTTTATTTTTGGAGAATGCTTCTATCATGGATTGGTATTTTTTGTCCCCATGAACCATAATACTTGAAAACTGAACTTGTAAATTAAAATTGTGCCTGATGATGCTGGGAAGTATATGAGGATTGTCCAAAGAATAACTCAATAGACATCCTTTTATTTTGCAAGGTAGTTTTGAACGGAGTTGTGTGAGTAGCCAGGGATTTCTCTCTGAGATAACATTGTCTATCAAGATTGCAAACACCAAAAAAGAAAAGAAGAAGAAAATAAATATGTTTTTAGGTACATTATATAAAATGTCTCTCTATTGCACTTATAAATGAATAATTCTATGAGCAAAATAATCCTAAGTAAAATGGCCTCAACATCGTTGGTTTGATTAATAGTCACAGTTCCAAAGACATAGGCAGAAAGGCCCAAGAGATTTTGTCAGAGGATCCAGGGTAGACTTGCTTCTAGAAAGTGCCATAGCTTATGATAGTCTGGAAACACACTTCCACTATCGTGGAAAGGGTGCCGACGCATTGACCTCACACTCAGCAGAACTGAATTGGCTCTTCCTTCTCTGTTATTAGGATTACTTACTTGAGGGGAGCAGTTGGGAATGCCTTGGCATGATTTTTAACTAATTCTGTTCATCTCAGAGTCCTAGAAAAATGCCAGAGCCAGATAGGCCATCTTTCTCCTCCTCTACCCTTCTCCACCTGACCTCTGGCACTGTTTGGTGCTGAAGATCAAAGTGAGGGGCTCTAGCATGCTAGACAACTGTTCTACCACTGTGCTGCATTTGAAGTACTACCTCTTCTATTCTTAAATGTAGTCATAACACATTTCACTTACATAAAAGGTTGAAGGAGGAAAAACTACCCGTGCACTACTATCCAACTTGATGATTAATTAGTGAATTGCTTATATTAGTAGAAACCTCCACTGCACCTATTTTCCTAGTTGTATCCTCTTATTATCCCTTCTAAAAGTAACTATTATCTTATATCACAAGCTTGATAATTGGAAGCACTTTACATTTTATGTCATACTTAGGAAATGCTATCTCTGAATAGCATTAAATTATGAAATAGTGATCATCCTTAAAATGTTTTGTGTATTTTAAACTTTTATAAATGAAATGTATTTTAATATTCTGTAATTTCCTAAAAATGTACCTATGATAGTCATGGATTTTAATACAGGTACTTCTAGTCCACTAACTCTTATTGTATCTTTCGGATGGCCATATTATTATTTATTAATCTTTACCTATTATCTCATTACAAGTGTTTGGATACTTCAAAGACTACTTGTTGCAAACTTCTTTCATGGATCCTGTGACAGAGAGGGAGTGCTTTGACTTTGGCATGGAATGGCTGGCCATAAACCACATGCAGTTTCAGTTTTATTAGAGAATAGTAAATGGCTAATAAAATAGGTCACATTCATTCAAATTCCTACTGGTAGTGTGTTGGAACTGTCATTGCTTCTCAGCTGACACAATACTTGGTACTCTCAGGTAAATCATGGTTTTGTTTGCATTTCCCAGATTTCTAGGGAGGACAAACATTTTATGTAGGTTCCCTCTTGGGTGTATTGTATCTCATCCCATCTATCTATCTATCTATCTATCTATCTATCTATCTATCTATCTATCTATCTATCTATCTATCTATCTCTCATCCATCTATCCATTTATCTACCCACCCATCCATCCATCTCTTATCTATCTATCTATCTATCTATCTATCTAT